CAAGCATATCTGTGTAGGTGCCTCTGCTCAGCCACAAACCACCACCGCAGAGAGGGGGAGAGGGTGTGAAGTGGAGATGGAGCCAGATTAGGCCGGTGCCGCGGTGGGAAGCTGGTGTGGGGCTGCCGGGGCGATGAGGATGTGCTGCAGGAGAACTCAGTCCTGAGGAGGAGGATTCCTCCCACTGCCAGGTGCTGGGGAGCCCAGCACCCATCCCCACATGGGGAGATCCTGGCTAGAGAGTAGTGCAGAGCTGGGGCTTTTGTTGAATGAACACACGGGTTTTGCCTTAATTGAGCTACTCTCCAGGAGAGTTGAGGCCAGCAGATGCTTGTGTGAGGAGGCAGGTGACAGTAACAGTCTGAGGAGTCACAGATGATGGCCAGGACAGGTCCCTCACCTGGCTCCCTGAGTCTTCCCTGCCCTGGGGGTTAGCACCTCTTGTCTTTGGCTCCAGCAACAATTCCAGCTGTGTTGCTCTGAGCTGTAGGTCAGGGGTCTGTAGCCATCCCACCAGCCTTCCCTGATGCTTTTCTAAGCTGCTGTGTGTCTTTGAAATTGGGCTGTGTTGAAAATTCAGCAATGCAGGAGGCAAACAAGGTGCTGGGGGGTTGCTGGAACCCCCACAGCCCTTCCCAGGGGACAGGAATGCCCCCTCGATGCCACCCACTGAGCCCTTCACAGTGGCCACTGGGTGCTGGCCATGGCTAACAAAGACTCAAAACCCCAGGGCTCTGCAATCTCACACCAGGGACCTTGTGCAAAGAGCTTCAGGATTCCTCGCAGAGCCTGGAGCTGGGGAAGGGAAGGAACACAGATGAATTTCTTTCCATCTCTCCAAGCATCTGGGAGGTGGGTGGGAGGTAAAAAAAGATGAGCCCTGAAGTTTTAATTCCTTGGAGATATTTAGGTATCTTGCTCTTGTTACTCAGGGAGTGCAGGGCCTGAGCAGCTCTGGGATGTGCCACAGGCTCCTACCCCAGCACTTCCCAGCTCAGCTCCGACCTCTGGTTCTCCAAAATATTATTTTTCAGAGAACTTAGATCGCAATGACTGCCATTGCCTCCAAATGGGTTTGGTGTAATGTAGTGTCTTTAGGAAGGCCATTACTGGAAACCACAACTTGGGAGATAACTCACTTGGATTTATTGGGAGGAGTAGAGAGCTGAGGGCTGGAATGTGACCTTGACTCCCCCTGGCTGAGCCAGAATTAGGGAAGCAAGGAATTTTGTTCTCATTTAAGAGCGATCTTAGCTCATCCTCCCCAGCCTGAGTCTTCCTTTGCACACACTAGTAACACCCAGAATGGTCCCTGAAAAACTGTTCCACTGGATGAAAAGTAATGAGATTTTAACACCGTAACTGGAGCTCTTTAGTCTTCTGGCTCGCTGGGCTGGGATCGATATTCTTGGCCATATTTACACCATCGTACTTCCCTTGCAACCCCCTCCCTGTTCCCCCCGGCCCTCTCTGGGGAAAAGGGTTCTGAGAGGAAAACGACCTGAGATTAAATCAATTAATTGCCTCTGCATGCGCCGATAACCGCGGGGCCGGAGCTCAGCGCAGGCACCAAACACGGCTGAGCAGAGCAGGGGAACCACAACGCCCTGCCCTGGGCCCTGGGGGGAGCGGGGGCTCCGGGGGGGAGCCACCACTCACATTATCCAACGTGCACTTGGTGGAGCTCCCAGCTGGGGGGGATGAAAGGGATCGAAGGATTCTGTGGAGTGTGGGACACAAACAGCCCCGTGGCTGGGGCAGGAAGGGAAGGGATGCCTGTAGAAACCAGTGACTGCAAAGTGTGCTGGACGAGTCCATTGCTTCCAAATTGAATCTGGTGTCACCTAAAGACAGGGCTCACTGCAGGGAGCCTGGAGCTGCTGGGCAGGGACACGCTGCAGGTATCACACAGCCCACGGTCCCACTGCTGACATGTACAACGTGCCCTAGAAGATTTCCCAGCTGGAGAGGGCTTCCCTGCCATGCCTGCAGGTTCTCAGGGCACCCCTGGATTAAAGTGAGACCATTGCATGGAGAGTTTGACCTGCAGCTGGGTGAAGGTGGGGCAAAGCATGGGTGGATGTGCTCTGCTCCTGGCCACGGGTGTGTAGCTGCTGTGAAGGGTAAGGAGAGAGGTAGCCCAACTGGTGGCAGAGGTGGGGTTGCTCACCCTAACCCTGCCATGACCAGGTACCCCTGGCACCCCAAAAGGCAGGAGGGCCAGGGAGAGGCAGAGCAGGAGACCCCAACTGGGGCTTGGTAGACTCAGCTCCTGATCGAGCTCCTCCAGCTGCTCCTCTCTCTGGAGCAGCTCAGTTGTCCGTGTGGAAGATGCTGCAGGGGAGTCAGAAGGTGCTCTGGCTTCATGGTGGAGGTTCTAATGTAGCCTGGGCAGGGTGTGCAGTGCCACAGCACACAGCAAGTGTTTGAAGAACACGCTTGTCCCTGTGCCACCATGAGTGTCTTGGTGGTGGAGAGCACAGCTCATCCCCAGTGCTCCTCTCCCACCCGCTCTGCCTGGCTCACCCAGGCACTTACTCTGGTGATGTTGCTGATCTGTTCGCTGACTTGTTCAGGCTCAAAGTGCCACCTCAAGGGCTGTGCCTCTCTCCCTGGACATGGCAGCAGCATTTCTCACTGCCAACGTGTCCACGTTGGCCACAGGAGAGCACTGAGGCAGTGGTGGGTTGTGCAACTGCAGATGCTTTTCTGGAAAAGAAAACAGGGATGTAAAATGGAAGAGCTGTGGAATGTGGCAAAGGATTACGTTGCAGGCTTTGGGGCTGGCACATCTCCAGCTGATTCAGAACATTGTTCTTATGTCTCCTTGCTGGTGCCTGTTGGCCAGGAACCATCCCAGCCTGTCTGTGGGTCTGGGGGAGCCCAGCACGTGTCCTTGCATGAGCAAGCCGAGCTTGTCAACCTGCTGGATGCACTCGGGGGTTCTGGAGCAGAACCCAGCTGGAAGATGGGACGGGCAGGTGTAGTTCCTCTGTGCTGCCCGGTGCCAGGGCGGGCCAAGGGAGTCAGCAGGTCGGGATCCCTGCACAGCCCCGGGCTCCAGGCAGAGCCGGCTGCTGCCGTGCTGGGCTCCGGCAGGGAAGTGTGGAGATCAGCCAAGCTACCTAATTGGGATTCATACTAATAGGGAGAGGAAATTAGGCAGATCCAGCACCGAGACAGCCGAGCAGGGAGCGAGTCCCGGCGGCAGCGCTGCCTGCACTGGCGCTCGCCCGGCAGACCAACCAACCCCGGGGTGTGATTCACTCTCACAGCCTGGGGCTGCAGCACAGGCACCGCCAGTGCCTGGGAAAGGACTCGGGAGCAGGTTGGGATGTGCTGGAACCACCAGCCTGGTGTGCTCCCAGCTGAGAGAGGGGTCTGACTGCTGTCAGCATGGGGAGAGGTGTCTGGGGTGGGAGGCAGCAGCCCCCTGGACCAGCGTGAGCGACACTGGTGCCGTGCCCAGGGCTGTGCCCACCACTGGGTCCACACCTGGGGCTGGCAAGGTGTGCCCAGGCGAGGCGTGAGCAGGGGCTGAGGCTGCAAGTGCCCAGAGCAAGTGGCTGAGCCATACCTGAGCCAGGACACATCCCAATGAGACACCGTCCCGGTGAGACACCGTCCCAGTGAGACACCGTCCCAGTGAGTCCTGCTCTGGCCAGCACTGGAGCAGGGCATCCTCTGCCTGAGCTCACTGCTGTGGCCTTGGATCTGGCAGGGTCAGAGGCAGCCAGGAGCAGTGATCCAGGAGCAGGTAATCTGGCATCACTGCTGCCTTGAGTTCTTGCTGAGGAAATGTGGACAGAGCAGGAGACTCCAGAAGCTGAGGACCTGGACAAAATCCACTTCTTTGCTGTCCATGATGTGGTATTGCTGCTGTAACCCAGGCCCAGCTATAAAGCTGGGAGAGGAATACCTGGAATTTCATCTGGCATCACTAGGGGGTGGGGAGCTGATGGTTGAGGATGTGCCATGTAGCCCAGCTGACCCTGAGCAGCTGCTTCATCCATCCCCAGAGCCATTTCCAGCCACAGCTCCCTGAGGCAGGACTCTATCTTCAGGGAGCATTTTGGAGGTCAGAGGGGGCTTTTTGGGATTTCAGCCTTGTTGTGGTATGTGTTTGGAGGCTGAAGTTGTGTGTCAGGTAGCTCAGCATTGTCATGGCAACGAGCATCAGTTGATGAACAGAGGGAATAAAGGAGCCAAAATAAATGTCAGAGCGTGAGATAGTTGCAGTGGAGCTGGGGCTGCCCCCCTGCCCACCCCCTCCCCCTGGGCGGTCGGGCACGTTGCCCTGCCTGTGCCCACTCAGAGCAGGGCTCCGTTGGTGCAGCCCCACTCTGGCAGTGCCTGATGGCTGGAGAGCAAAGGGACACGTGGGGGGTGACTGTGGGGTGAGTGGGGCAGAGCCTGCTGGCTCTGGATACCGGGAGAACGTGGGTGGAACCCAAAAGCTGAGAGGAAGAGGAGGCTGGGGGCTGTGCTGTGCAGCTGGTGTGTCCTCGCTGTGCCCAGTGCATCCCCTTCTCCCAGAGTTCCCAAAGCAACGGGAGCAGGCGGTTCTCCCTCGGATGCTGTGTCTCCCTCTGGATGACAGCTTGCCTCCTCCAGAGTTTCATCTCCAAGCTTTAATTGATGCCTGTCACGACGCTCAGCTCCCCTGAGCGCAGCCCGAGAGCGTGCAGGACACTGTGAGGGTGGGCTTCTCCTGCCTGGAGCCCTGTCCTCTGGGGACACGTCTTTCCTGGTCCCATGGGAGAGGGGACAGAGACAGCATGACCTGACCACGTTCTCCAGTGCCACTGTGATGAGGGGGCTCCCCTTTCTCTAGGGAGATGCTGCAGTTCCTCTCACCTCACCTTGCCCCTCCAGAGGAGTCCCAGGCTGTGCCTCAGTTTCCCCATTTAAAACACCCAGGCCTCTGGGCTGCTGCACATCCTGCAGAGCTCCAGCCAGTGCAGAGAGGTCTGAGTGTTTCCTGGCTTGTGTGTTCCCAGGAACCTTCCGAGGAGTGTGCAAGAAAATCGACCACTTCCCTGAGGATGCAGACTACGAGCAAGACACGGCCGAGTATCTCCTCCGTGAGTTCTGCTTCCCCACAGTGCACATTCCCTGGGCACCCCCTAACCCCCCCTGCAGGGCACCCCCATCCCAGTCCCCCAGCCTCACCCAGCAGGTCCCCCCAACCTGCTGGCAGGAGGCTGATGGGTCGCAGCCCCCCTGCCCATGGAGCAGCAGTGACCCTCAGGTGACCCGACACAGCCACGTGTCAGTGGCACATTTGGCTGGCACTTGCCGTCCCCATGGCCAGTCCCAGGAGCTGCTGCATGGTCTGAGCTTGTTGGGGTCCCCCCAGAGGGGACTGGGACCCCGTGTGTCTGTGGTGCAGCACTACAGGGGTTCGTATTCATGCTCTGTTCTTGCTGGTGTCCCTGTTCCCAGAGTCTCCAGCCAGGCTGGATTTGCTGGGAGAGCACAATGAGCATCTGCCACGTGCTCTGCAGTGGCAGCCAAGTGCAGGGAGACAGAGGAAAATCAAACTGGCAGCTCTCCTGGGAAAAGCAGGTTCTCCTGTCTCTGGTGTGAGCAAACCCTCGGGGCAGAACCACACAGAGAGTCACAGAATCCTTGAATGGCCTGGGTTGGAAGGGACCTTAGTATTTAAATATTATCTAGTCCTACCTCCCTGCCACAGGCAGGGACATCTTCCACTAGCCCAGGTCACTCCAAGCCCTGTCCAAC